GTAGGGAAGTTTCTGAGTGTTCATCACTTAGTAGAAAAAAAAAATAAAATTGTCTGTTGAAGTTGATAGCAAATTCTTCTAGTAATCGTTGTCAGACTTCGGGTGAGGCCTTCAGGGTGGAGCAAAAATGTGTCCCAGTTCACAAATGGAATAAATTCTATGCGGATAGATAGATAATCCTCCCAAATTGACTTTTATTTAAGAAAACTATTGGCCAGTTTTCTGTTCTTAATTTTCTGCCGTAACTGTCCAAACTTTTACTGAAAAGACAGACTTTTTTTTTCTGTGGCGATTTAATGTCTGAATTTTATGTGTTTTGTTTTTTTTTTCCTAAGTTTGGGGATTTAAAACATTAAGGATTTGTGTGCAGGGGTTTTGCTCCCCTCTGCCCTCCTTCCATTCCTTCCAACCTCTTCAGTGGTTTTGGTGTTTATTGTGGGCTTTCCAAATGTTTTCAGTTTTCCACCATCTTGTCCTCTCTAGAACTCCTGAATTCTCGTCTTCGGCCAGCTCTCCCAGCTCTTGTGTTGGGCGGTTTTCTTTTTAATTTGCCTCACTTACTCCCAAAGCTGGGAGACATCACCTAATTGGGAATTCCCACATTTTGACCTAATGCGCGCAAACTGAAGTCAATACAGATGATGTTGTTGATTGCAAGTACGTATGCAGAAATGAAACTTTTGAATTGTAAAACTATTGGGAGTTGTGTAAAAGTGTTAATTGAAGTAACAGGGGTAGTTATGCTCAATGTCCTTTTTTTTTCTTGACTCCTTAAGCTTCTGCATACAAATTCCAAGACTTATATCTTATGGTTGAATATAGATCTAAAAGAGAAGACAGTAGCCAATGCAACATCAGCTTCTCAACTTATCTTCATTTCTATACTATGTTTACAGAGCAAGAGCGGATACTTTTATTCTGTTCGATCCAAACTGGATAAAGCTGAATATGCAGCCTTGATACATGCACGTATGTGTGCATATAACTATATTTTCGGTTATAAAAGTGTAGCAAGGTGGTTTTTTTCTTTGGTTTAATCTAAGTTTTGTATGTTATAGTCCTTTGGTTGTGTTTACCCTTCATATCTGGTGTCATCTGGTTAGATTTCTGTAGCAGTGTAATGCTTTCTTTTATGTTGGAATTTTCTCTTGTTTAAAGTAGTAGGTTCCAGCCTGTTTACCATTTGCTTTGTTATTAAGTGACTATACCATGGGGAATGTCTGGGTTCAAAGTCTATCTCTGAAAACCTGAATTACCGGAAGGAATTACTGACTGTGTAAGCATGTCCTTATTAGTTAAAAGTGAAATTACTGTTAAGTCTGTTTGCTTAGCTTATACAGATTAACAAAAGCTACTGTTTCTTTTATTTTATAGTGGCGTTTATTTTCAACTGGATTGGATTTTGTTTATCCTTCTGTATAACAAATACCATAGCTGGAAGGTATGGTGCAATCTGTGGATTTGGTCTCTCCCTGATCAAATGGATTCTCATTGTACGGGTATGTTTCTTGATTCACAGTGTGCAGACTCTGTTTGTAGAACCAAACTGTAACAATTTATTCAAGGATATATAATATTGGAATTAAAAATCAGTATATTAAATTCCAGTGCTTAACAGAATGACTGATGATTTCTCTATCTTCCACTCTAGTAGAGAATTTATTTGCTTTATATTCTTATGTGCTTACTAATGATGAAGCTTAACCTATTTTTTTCTTACATAGCATTTTGTGCTCATCTTTCACTAAAATAAATGCAGAATGACTCATTCTTTCCACGAATATTTAAAAGCATACAGAAGAAGTGGAGCAAGTACCTAAAATGTCACTGGTGTTATAGTGTCCTATATGAAGGATTTATAAATGGCTTAGCCTATCAGGGGGAGGAGGGAGAATCAGAAAACATTCTTCCTTGTGTCTGATTCTTTTATTCCTTGTAAGATACATACTGAATCAAATAAAAATTTAATCTGAAGTTAGTCACATATTTACTATCTTAGATACTCAATTTCTTGGCATTTTCACTGCAAGACTAGATACTTTTCAGAAAGGTATGTTAGCCAAATGGAAGTTTCTTAGCTGGCTAAGTGGATGCTAGATGAAATGTAATGGTTCTTTCTGAACTTGAATTCTGCATGTCTGTGAGACACAACATCTAAAATCTCATCCCGTCTAATGAAGAAAGAGATCTTGGATAACTTAGTTATCTTTTATGCCCTGCCAACTCTGAATTATTTGTTTATTTAGTTCTTCTCTGTTTGTGCTAATAACTTGATTTGGTCTTAGCACAATAGTACAAGGATTGTAGAGACAAGAGATTGCATGGTCCTTCATGCATCCTTCTTAGAGCGGAGAGTGATGACTTTTTTCTTTTTTTTTTTTTTTCTCTTTTTTTTTTTTTTTTGGCTTCCCCAAGGCAGAGGAATGCTACTGGACCAGATGTAATTCTGGTGTATTTAGTTGGAATTCAGGGTTTGGGATGGAATTTATCTTAAGGGAGCAAGAAGACATGAATTTTTCAACTATGCATTCATTGGGGATATTTTCAGCTTCCCTTGAGGCATGCTAAACAGAGGGCAGAACTTGCTTGCTGTGTCAGTCTTATTATTCCTGTCTGCTTGAAAATGTGCTCATAACAAGCACAAAAACTAATATATGCTAAACTTCCTTGAAGAATTACTGTGTTCTAGACTATATTGAAATTCTTGTATGTAATCAGTTACTAATTCTAAAATGTTGGAGTTGAACAATTCCAAGACCTCAGGGGTGGGTTTTTTTCATAGTGAAGATTATCATCTTCCTGTCTTGTCTCTCTTTCTAGAGGCAATAGCAGAAAACTCATAAGGTGTACGTCGACAATTTTGTTTTAATGGTGACATGCAAGCACGCGTGTGTGTACGCAATTGTTCTGTCCCTTTGTTTCAAGCTCCTCTGAAGGCTTCTGCCCTTTCTCACTCGGGGTTGGTAGTACAAAACGTTTTAGTGTCTAAACTGTCTGAGCTCTCATATGCTCTGTCTGTATCAGTTTTTAATGGCGCAGGGAAAGATCAAAAGCACAATTTTGTTGTTGGGGAAATTCTGTAGCCATGGCTGCTTCTGCCTGAAGAAAGCGTGACAGTGATGCACATCGGCCAGTATTTGATTGCTGCTTTTAGTAAAACTCCTTTCCAATTAAATGAAATTGTAACTCTAAAAAAAAGTGTATTGGTATATATGTTTAGAGAATTGAAAATACTGGCGTTCAAGTGAGATGGGATTAATAATGATGTCAAGTTCCTGGGAATTGAGTATTCATTTGGTATTTTAATGAAGTGTCAAAATATGAAATGCTTACTCTGCCGAATCATAGAAATGCTAGTATTTATATAGGAGTAATGTAACTGCCAATTCTTTAGTTCAACTTAGCAATTCTGTTTCTTGATTTTTTTTTTTTTTTGTTGCCCATAGAAATGAATACAGTACAGGTTAAAACTTTAAGGAATGCACATGATCTGGCTTTATTCTGGAGAAAAAATGTGAATCTCAGTGCATGGTTACTTGAAGAAAACACAACTATATCTAGAGTTCTTTTAATGTCTTGGATTTTTAGCTGGTTGTGTATGTGGCCCCGTATCTTCTCTCTCTCTCTCTCTCTTTATTTATTTATTTATTTATTTTTTATTTTAAAATAAACTGAATTATGTGATTTCTTGGTTGATACTACTGAAATGTCCCAGAAATGGCAAATGGGAAGCACTGTGGCAGGACGCGGTAAACAAACTGAAGAATAATAGGATGGAAAGTGGTATGAAAAGTGTTCAGAGCTTCTAAATAGATTATTTTATTCTTTCTGGCAACTTTTAACACGCCTCCCCATTCCTACTTCTGTGAGTTTTGGAGACATTTGATTAGCCTTTTTATCAGTGAAGCATGCAGTCTGGAGTCTGGTAAAGGCACAGATACCTGTCTCCAAGACCATCACACCCTGCCCTCCAGCTGCCTCCCACATCACAGGGAGGACAAAACTGTCTACCATGGTCCCTAACAGGAACAGTTGAAATGCCACTTCAAGGTTCATTTAGTTGCGTTCAGCTCACTGCTGGGAACTGAATGCTGGTTTGAAAATGAAAAGACTTTAATGAGTTGGGGGTCTTTATGGGGCTGGTATTCTTGGCAGCGATTAACAGTAGGGGGTATACAGAAGGTCAAAAGCTCTTCTTTTGAGGGGTCAGCAGAACATCCCTGTCTGATAAGATTAAACTAATGTGGCTTTTGGTGTTAATATCTAAAGCAGCAGGCTGCTGTAATGTGTTTGGGATGGCAGGCATTGGAGGGGAAAAAAGGAAAATGGACAAGTGGTGATTCGTTATAACAGAAAATGTCAGATGACTCTGGCAAGTAATACGAGGGGGTTTATTTTATAGATATATATTTTTATATATATATACACACGCATATATTTTTTTAGGTTTTAAAATAACTGCCACAGGCCAACTGACACTGGAAGTGTTATTTGTACATTAAATTGCTGCACAAATAACAGGTTTGCATTTTAGTTGAATTTATTACTCTTATTTAAATTTGCCTTTTTCTCTCTGCTTTCTGTATTTGCATAGTGCATTAAATGTGTCTTAGTCGTCTGTCTGACTGCAGCTAAGCCTTGTGTATGAATTTCAGTTTTCAGATTATTTTACTGGATATTTCAATGGACAGTACTGGCTTTGGTGGATATTTCTTGTACTTGGTAAGTGGCATTTCTGGTTTAATGTGGAAGTACTTAAAGATGAATCATGTCATTGTAAGTAAGAGTTCTGTAACATGTTTAGCTATGTGTTTTTCTTTAGCTGCTGATAGTTTTGTGTGTTGTTTTTATTTCCATAGTATTCACAAGGTTATTGGTTGCCATAGTGGTGTTATTGTGTGAACTGCAGACTATTGAAATAACATTCAGCTCAAAAAATTTTGTTCTACATATGTAATTATGTACATACCTGAGACTTGTGCTTTTTAAGCTGCCTCTACTGATCTATAGGGCTGTAGAACTCTGCAATGAAACTTCGGCTTTATGTAGAGAACATACTGAAAAGTAGAGTGATATCTAGTACTTGCATGTATAAACCTGTATGTCAGGTATTAAAATTTAAGAAATGTGACTGATCCTAGGAAGCTGTAGTCTGCAGTCTTGTACATAGGTCACAAAATGTCCTTTTCGAGTCCTTTGAAATGTGTACTGCATCAGTAGTTTCTCAGTCGGACAAGAGAATGGCTTCATGCTTTCTGATCACAGGGCTCCCGTGATGTCAGCTTTCTCTGAAGAGGTCTGTCTGCCCATGTTCAAAGTCTTAGATGCATCAAATTCTGCTCTTCTGTCTGTTTTTAATTAGGATATACCAAACCCCAGCCACTGTACCTTTTTACCTACTATGGGTTTTGTATTTTGAATATGGAATCCGAATTATTTTCTTTTACAGAAGTGAATGCTACTATCCATTTTATTTTCCAGCTCTGGAAGTATAGTAAACTGTTGCTGGTTCAGTAGGTGGCACTCTTCCCTTTGAGTCAATTGACTCAAATAGCTAACAGCAAATGTTAGAATGAAATGTTGAGTAAATTTAAAAAAAAAAATAAAATACTGAGATCCTGACTCGCTGTTTATCTCACAAAAAATGCCAAAAATCTTAAATGATGTTACCTAAAACTTTTTCTATCTGCCTTTTAGTAAACGTCGAGGGCATTCGTCAGACTTCTTAATACTCAGCTTACTCTACTGTTGCACACTTGGTTGCTTGAGATATATAGAAAATGCAAATGTTTAATACATCATGACATCAATCCCTTGAATGCTTTCATATTCTGTTTGAGATGATTGTATTTAAGTCAGAAGTGAACTGACTCTTTATGGGTACAAACATCTCCAGATAAATCTTTAATTAAAACAAACCCTTGTGGTGTGTGAGATTGAAGTTTGACACTTTTTTCACCTGGATGAAAATAGCGGGGTTTTTCCCCTAACATTTTCCCCAACCGTGTCTATGGAAAAAGCTGTGCATTTGTAGTTCCTCTTTTTACTAGTCTATTGCAGCACTTGTTCAGAAGTTAGCTCACTTAGATTTAGGAAAGCTTTATATTCAGCCTTAAATATTTGAAGTTGGTTTGGTTTTTTGTTTTTTCTTCTTTAACTCACAAAGTTTATAATATGCCTTGGAATAAAAGGCACTGTGAGGCATGCAGTATGCATCCAGCAGCCAAAGTTCCCTTGTCTTATGAATGTTTTGCATGAAATAAGCCAACAGTGTTTTTAAACTGATAAAGTGGATGTATTGAGATTGCTAGAACACCATAGAAGGATTTAACCCAACAGAGCTACTTAGCAGGACACGGAGGAGTATTATCAAGTCGTGGGAGCTCTGCCAACCAGATCTGCATTTCATTGTTTCAGATAACTTTCCCATTAGAGCACACGAAGTATTGTGTCCTCTGTGTCTTCAGAACTGAATGAACTGAGCTGGATTCTTTCTTTTGCGTAGTCCTTTGACATACTTGAGCCCACCTATTGCCATCTTCTCCTCTCTGCCGGTGTTCACCTATCTGTTTTTGCTTCCTTCCCTTCTTTCAACATCTGGAAAAATCTGCTCGTGCTTCACAGAAAACTGAAGTGGTCTGCTTCCAAGGAGCTGTCATGTACAGTGAACAAATTGAAGAGAGAGACAATTCTAATTTTTAAATTTAAATGTTAGCCAATGTTTCTTTTTGAGGAACACAATGGAAAGTGATGTGTTTTTTTTTTCCTTCCCTAAACAGAGAAATATAAAATGTGGGTTGAACTTGGACTGATTTTCCAACATGTGTAATGCAGAAAGTATGCTTTCAGGCACCTTAAGAGCTGCTTCCCCACCTTTTGCTGTTTCAGCTACTTTTCAGTTAAACGTGAGACTATCTCTGGTAACGTCTGGGTAGCAGCTTTTGTAGTAGACTTTTGATCCAGATCTTAGTGCTTTCTTCTCCATGCAGAATTCACCTTAATCACAGAAATGTGTGTGGCTTAGGTGAAAGTTCCAGTGGTTAGCAGAGCATTCTCTGTGTTTGGGATTTTTTTTTGTGTGTGTGCTAATAAGGCTTTAGTTTTAAAAAAGCGAAGAGAAAGTAAATAAAATAAAAATTTACAAGTAAAAAGCATTTAGAGAAGAAATGAGCATACAGGAAAAAAAAATCAGAGTCCCAACATGGAGAACGGGAAGAAAAAGTGTATCACATAGCAAAATATCAGTTTAACCATAGAGGTTGTTTATTAGGATGTAAGATGGTGAAAAGGATGAACATCTTTGCTAAACTTGGTAAGCTTCAGTTCAGATTTTCATTTGAACCTTTGGAATCATAATGTATATGTATATATATACACATAAGCATGTATCTTCAAGGTACCTGTGTCCTCATTAAATGAGAAGAATTGCTCTCCAGGCTCGTGTTTCTCTCCACGAGACGTGGAACTCAGATTTTGACCCCCCCCAACTCTTTGGGCAGATTGTTTTATCTGTGTTGGAATCTCCCTCATCCAATTGTTGAATGGATTAATCTGTTGAAGTTTACTTGGTGGATGAAAATGGACCAAAGAGCTGTGTCCACTATGCAACAATGTGTTTTTCTGGGTTTGTTTGTTCAAATGTCCAGTGCATCTCTGAATTGATAAAATGATGTTGGCAACGTCATGTTAGTGATTTCCATTGTTGCAACTGTGACTTTTGTGTGACTATTCTGTTCTTCTTATCAGAGCTGAAATATTCTTTCAAATGCAGTTAAATTTAAATATTTTAAAATAGTTTGAAGTGTGGTGTCGACAAAAAAAAATGTAGTCATAACACATGTTGAGTAATTTTCTTTGAATCGACTGTTGTTCTTCCTCCTCTTGGACAGGTGCATTTTCCTGGATGGTTAAATCTCAGGCTATAATCTACTATAATTTATTATTTGGCTTGTTGCTAGAGCAATCTGTACTGTCTGTCTGTTTTGATTTTGGGTCCCCCTCCCTTTTGATTTGCAATACATTTATCTTATACATTTCTAAAGGTATGTTTAGTGGTTCTTCTAACACACTAGTAACTTATTTTAAGAACGCTACTTGAAAAATGTGCAGCATGTATTCTTTTCTTTTTTTTTTTTCTTCTTCTTTTTAAGGTCTTTCATGCAGTATTTCTAGCAGATGATACTTGAACCCAGAATGAGCGTAAAATTTCTGAAAAGCTTTCCATAAGGCTGTATCCTAATATCACAAGATAAAAGCAGAAAACTTGAATGTTGGAATTTGTGAATGATGCATAAAGACCTCGCTTTATTTACTATAATCTAGATTTAAAAAAAAAATAAAATAATAAGAATAATGTGGAATAGCGTGTACTTAGATTGATATACTTAATTTTGTGCATTTTCTGCACTTTCAGGACTCCTCCTGTTCTTTCGAGGCTTCGTTAATTATCTTAAAGTCAGAAATATGTCTGAAAGCATGGCAGCTGCCCACAGAACAAGATTTTTTTTCTTGTACTGAAGGTAAGCAATTTTTAGTGATAAGATTATCTCTCCCAGGAAAACTGAGAAGAATGAAATACTTATATTAAAAATAAATAATCAAACTTCTGTCACAAAACAGAAGTCACATGGTTTTTGAACATGAATGTTGTGTATATTCTACACGGACCTGGAAATAACTGAAGTCTCTTGAAGTCATGAAATTTGTAAGTAAATGATGCATCCTTGTTGCCTCCAGTCCTCCCTGGAACTAATGTTCAGTAACAAAAGGAAGAGGAACCTGTTGTTTTTCCTAAACAAGAAGCAGTTTCTGCTGCCTGTCAGGATGCTGTCCTTTGTGTTGGAGAACTGGCTTTAGCAGTCAACCTGTTGTCAGCAAGTTAGGAAGCGCTAATCTGCCTGCATATTAAATCTGATTGACATGGGTCTGAACATGCAAACAATAGATGAGTGTTGTCTCTCTTTACATGACTGGATTAAGACATTCATGTACAAGTATGATTATTGTGTATGCAACAATGTGCTTTATATATCCTTCAGGTAGCTGACTAATCAGTCTGGCACATATCCACTTTTTTTTTTTTATACTTTTTATCCGTTAGGTGGATCTGTTGGACTTCATTAAATTGCATGACGAGATAAATTTAAGCCTAGAAATGAGTACTGTAGCATTTTCATTATTCTGCAATTTACTTAAAATGCTTAAATACTGTATTTTGACTTAACTGAGAAGCTATGTTTGCCGTAATAAAGCGGGTTTTTGTAACTTTTCTCCAGGGTTGGTCATAGGATTGATATGATATAATCAGCAACACATTATTGAAGCCTGAAAAAAAACTTGAGACAGTATTTGCCTAGAAAAAAAATGGTTCCTTTTATGTAAGACAGTGATGCACATTTAAAAGCACCTAATAGATAAATATCTGTGCTATACCATACAGTTCTTGATCATGGAAAAAATCTGTTAACATAATAACATATTTCTTTTTAATGTGCCATTTTTTCAAAATTATGCGGTAAGTTAGTGTTAAATAACTAAGGTGTATATTGCCTTTTAGGAACCAATCTAAATTGGCATCTACATGGCAGTATTTCCTTTTTAGAATAGTTACATAGAGCTCCTTTTCTTAGTGATATGGTAACCTCTTCAGAATACCTAAACTTGTAGATATGAGACTGAAAATATCTGTTAGCTTTCAGTACAACAAAGTTTAAAAATACTGTTTTAAAAATAATTGTTGGAACTAATTGGTATTTGTAAACTGTAGCTTGAAAAGAATAATGAGGGAGTAGGATAATGTGGTCTGGGATTCTTTGCTCGCCTGCAGTTAAAATTCTGCTTTGGGACAAAACACTATTTAATTCAGCATTAACTGAAGTTAATTAGTTGTCCTATCTGAGTTAAGTGGCTTTGATTTTTTCCTTTATCTGTAAGCATTACTGAGATGTATGGGCTGATAAGGTCTGTGGAGTGTTTAGAGAGCTGGACATGTAAATATATATTTATTTTTTCTTAAGCGTCTTAAGTATTGAAACAAGAAGATCAGATTATTTATTACCACACTTAAATCTTCGTGTTCTTGCATAAACACGTAACTTCCTCTACAGTGACTATTAGTTTTAATAAACAACAAATACTACCTTTTACAGTTACAAAATATTCTCAGGTGTTCTTTTGAAACGATACCAAAATAACAGTAAGTTTTTGCTTTTTTCTCCCATCCTGACAAGGAGGGGAAAAAGGCTGCTGCTTTGCTGCTTCTAGGTTTAACGTCAGTTAATCAACGCTACTTGTAGTGAGTCACTGCGATGAACTGAAGTACAACTCTTTCTTTATCTCCAGACTGCATCGAACAGACATTCCTTTCCTATACCAGTGTGAAACTTCCAGATGATCTGTAACCCTCTGAGTTAATAGGATAGAAGACTACTAAAACCAGAAGATGAATTAGTGAAGATACGGCTTCTAAAATGAATGGCGGGATGGTTTAAGCTCAAATACCAGTTCTGGTCATTCTAGTAAATATTTATAATTGCTGTCTTTTGTTTTAGCACATTTGTATATGTGCTTATTAAAAAGATAGTATTGAAGTGAGAATGAACCATCTGTTAATATAGCTTAAGTACAGTCAGACTCGGTTAATCTGTGCTTGTTGTATCTGAAAGATTTAAGTGGTAACTTGTTTCACAGCATGTGTGTACCACTGACTTGTTGATCTGAACTTTGAGTACAATGAAATGCATTAAATGATTCAGATTAACCAGTTCAGACAGGTTTTTTTATATAATTTAGATTCATCTAATGATTGTGTAGAACATTTTTAAGTTTACTAAACCCAGACTTCCTTGTTGTCACAAACTTGTATTTGCCGTTATTTTATCAAATTCAAACCAATATACTGGTTTGCTTAAAACTGATACTCCTCTTTGAGTCCCCTGTAAATAACTCTGCATAAATGACTGTTTGAATAGCTTCTTAGGAAATATGTCGAAATATATTTTGTAACAGCATATTCTCTAAATTTTGTTTAATCTTAGAGCTACATACATATTTTTTGTTAATTGGCCATTAAGGGTATAGATATAATTAGATGTAATTTTGGAGGTAAAGGCATTGAATTGTTTGTCTCATCCTAACTTTCCTCACGTGAATTGTTATTAACTGGTATGGGCTTGAGCCTGAAAGTCCGTTATTCACGTGCATGATCCTATTAAAAGATAGAGTTTGTTCACGTTAGCAGGGATGGACAGCCTCACATCTTTAGTCCTCGGTTATGCAGTTGGATCCTCGTAGGTGCACCTTTGTTCCTGAAACAGAGTGTTGCAAATGGGTTATAACACTGGCTCTGTTTAGGAATTCTCAAGTTCAGTATAAATACAACATCCACCTTGAGGGCTTCTCAAAAAAAGTTCATATAGCTATCTTACAATGCTTGTTTAGAATAAATACTTTGCCATTTCCTAAGAATAAACTAATTTAAATGTAAGGTAATTTTGGAAGGGGGGAGGGGAAGGAATCTTACTTTTAAAGCTCTGAAAGTAGAAAATGTGTGTTGCACCTCTCCTAGGTTCATTTAAGGTATGCCATTACTTTCCTATAAATATCATCTCTTTAAGGGGTACTGTCTACTGTTCATGCATGTGTGGTTTCCTTTAAAGTTTGTGAAACTTACGCTTCTCCCTGAGTAGCAGAATACATCTCTCAGTCCTTTGTACAACTGGAATCTCAGTTGCAAAAATACATTGGTTGTTCGTTGCACCTTTGAGGAAAAAAAAATACAAATACTTTCCTCCAGTTTTTCTTTTTACGTTAGAATTCTGCCTTTTTATTACTAACATTGAAAACAGTGAGGTTTATGTTGTTTTAAGCTAGTGCTGTATTCCATTTTGTATCTATAATGAATGTTTAAAATACACATATGTAAACTGGTCACATTTATTTTTTTTCTTAATCTTTCAGAGATGCTGAAAGTGACTAAAACTTTAGGGGCACCTCCACTTCCCAGCTTTTTATGGAAAGAATAAAATTAAATATTATGTTCAATATCCGATTGGGTTTTCCTTCTAAACTGATCTGTTTGTTTCTGTATTCTTTTGCATTCATTGTCCGTAAGAAAAAGAAGCAGATAATAAAACATTGCTTTGTTTTGCTAATTAAGATGTATGCTTTTTGTTGCTTTTGCACTTCACATTGAGAAGTGCACACTGCAATATTTGTGTCAGCATGGAATTACAGACAAATTACTTGGCAAAATACGTACCAACCAATCCTCTCTACTCTCTTCCTTTTCATCTCATGTTTTATGGAAACAACCTGTAAGGACATTTCTTTTAATGAGTTAATACAGCTGTGAAAAGCATGCAATACTGATTCATTTGCTATGTTTACCTGTATCAACTAGTACTATTTTTTAGCTCTATCAATTTACCCAAATTTACCCAAAGCAGTCTTCCAAGTGATTTATTTCTGTTTGCTCCACTGTGTTTTATAGAAAGCTTCATACAGACACTTGGTTTTGTAGTGTTTTCTTTTCTGGACTGATTTGGAAAAATTCTCCTTTGGACAGAAAGAATATGTAGGGTTAAAAACGTACACATGTTATCTAATCCTCTATAGTTGATGCAGCAGTTTGGTAGCCTGAAATCTCATCAGCAGGAGGAAGGGAATTGGGACACTGTTTTCAAAGACTCTGCAATCTATTCCAGATGTGTCAAATGCTGCATATTTTCCTTGCTATTTCCTGTGAGCTTGGTTAGGAGCAGCTGGCTCTGTGGTTTGGAGACACCTGGCCAGCTTTGCTTTGTGTCTTAGGGGGGATGTGTGTGGGGGGAGCTCCAGTATCGCAGTGAAGTTGACTGTAAACACATTTTGTATGAATGCAAAGTTTGGGGCAATAACAGCTCGGGGGGCGGCGGGGGGAGATGGGGAGAGAAAATTACATTTTATTTGAGCAACTGGCACGAATGTAATGTGTTTAGTTTCGTTGTCTACTTTTATTGGTGGGGACACCACAGGAAGATGGACACCTTGAACGTGATTCAAGTAGCTATTAACGCATTTCAGAAATGGTCCATCACTCACACTTCCAGTCCTCTCACAGAGGAGGTTGTCTCCAAGCTTTCACTTTGCTGTCTCACCTTGAGTATGGACACCGTCCTTGTCCTGCAACACTGGTTTCAACACCCTACTCTTTCTGGGTCTGCTTCCTTCCCTTTGAACGGTGACAACAGGTGAGGAAAAGTGGTTTTATTAAGGTGCTTCCTAACAGCGGAAAGCTTTTAACGTCTATTCCACTTTTTGAGAATGTTTTCCCATAATATCCTGCATTGGTCGGTCCTGTGTGGTTGCTTGCATTGTTCACTTGAACAGAAAATTCATCTCTTCCCGGACACTTGAAGAGAAAGTGAATAACCTTTGTTGTGGAAATAAGTATCTCTCAATAAGGAAAAAAAAAAGAAAATCTAATCCATGCATACGTGCACAGCTAGCCAGAAACACTGGAGTTCAGTGTATTCTTTGTCCTATGTATGTTTTTCTTTTCCACCATCCTAAGATCCTTATCTTTATACTTCCAAGGATACTTTTACCATCTGTATCTCCTTTACTTGGCATATCCTTTCCACTTCCATGCCCTTTCTCCTTTCTCTGTGCACTTGTTACGCACCCAGCAAGGACGGGCAGAAGGCTGCCCTACTCTGTGTTGGCTGCAGTTAATAAACCACCCAGCAATTTCTAACTTTTTTTTTCCTTAACTGCAGCGATGCTTTGTATTTTCATACGTCCATATTTTCACACATCTGTATTTGACAGGTAAGCCAACTTTTTAAAATCAAAGGCTTTCAGACAACTGAAAATGCTTAAAATATGTGACTGCGCCATGCACTTGTTCTAAATATTGCATATGCAAGTGGAATTAAAACAGTGGCAGTGTTTGTTTTAGATATATTTTTCTTTAGCTCCTGAAGTGTCTGCATGATCAACCTGAAACATTTTTCTGATATGTAATTGTTGGGTTTTTTTTCCCCCACCCTTCCCAAATGAAAGAAAAGTCAGCTTTCCTGGATTTTTGTCTATGTCATGTTTTCTACATAAGGAAACTTGCAAGCAGTGAGGCCTAAAAGTATTGCAAACAGCATCAGCTCTCCAGCTATTATTCATATTTTTTTGCGTAAAATGGAAAGGCGTATATTCTAAAGGGTTTAAAATGTTTTCGTTCTTTTATATTGAGGGATGGTTACAGTTATCCCCATGTTTTTACATCTGTTCCTGTAGTCTTCACTCTTAATTTTTCTTGTGGTTAAAGAATCGCAAACACTGTGTTTGTAGGGGTATCCTCGGTGTAATACGAGAAGTTGTTCATTGATTCTTCCTTATAGATGGCTGCGCAGATGCCCATCCTTCTTAATTTTCTGGGCTGGAGTAATCTCATGACGTCCAAATGCCCAGTTTTACATGGAACAGGCGGCTGCTGCTGCTGTAAATTGTTTATTAGTAAAATAAGTATAGAGCAAGCTTCACTTGCATGCGTTCATTAATTGAGCCTTGTAGTTTAATACAATTGCAGCAGCGTTGCTGGTCAGTCCACTTTTGCTGCTGCTGTACGTAGCTGGTGAGAGCTCACTCCTGGAGTCTGAAGTTTTAGGTGTGTTTTTTTTCCATTAGTAATGGCCGGGTGTTTGAGCAAAGTCCATAAGTCTTCCTGTGGAAGCGTTACTGGAATAACGCCAGTGCTCATCGTCATGTAATTGGTAGCATGAGCACCTGCGGAACCATTGCTTAGCTGGGCGGCTCTTCTTTGAGTCTGCCAACCGACTTCTAAATAATGAATTAGTTCGACAATGTCTCTTGCAACTTTCATAGAAAGTCTTCATACGGATTTTTGTCTTAAAGGATGACGAGCTGTTTTTGCAAATTTACATCGGTACCTCTTGGAACAAGGAACTTCTGAAGACAGCCATATCAGTTCACTTCTCTGTATACACAGAACAATGGAAATCACTTCTGCGGATTAAACTGATAAGCCAAATACTACTACTTCTACCTGAAATGTGAATCAGATCCCACTTAAAAGCTGTTACTGAGGATAGTCTGACACTGTGGTTAAGCAAAATCAGGAATTACTATTGTAAATAATTATCAGCAGTCAGTTTTAGTGTTACTCTACATTGGATACTCAAGTGCTGCTATTTTTTTTTTTTCCCTGAGGAATCAGTTTTGGGGTTGTGAGTAGGTTTGGGTTTTTTTTTTTTTTGGAAACTCGCAACACTTATTCTGGTTCTGCTGGTGTTCATTGTAACATGGGCATATGTTAAAGGCAAGAAACTCTGACGGTGTAATCCCGTGGTTGAAAAACGTAAGTGTATTCATTCAGGAGGCTTAAATGTTTCTGAATTCTGACTGAAAGCTGATGTGATGTGCTGGATTTGGGAGGTCACATATGGCTTATATTGGGTTTCTACCCGATTCCTCCTTCATAAGGACGGTGAGTGCTGCTACGCAGCGTGCTCTGGATGCGTCATGGGTTCAAGCTGCAATTGCTGCATATTCAGTAGAGATTCACTATGAAGGCAGCAAGAGGAAAAAACAAGAGGGAGGAGGAGTGCTTGGACCTTTAACTCTGGGTTTGCCACAGCTGAGGTAGCAGGTGTTTCTGGCAAGATGATGGGAGCACATCTGAGTGCAGTCCTCACCCCCTTCCTCCCCAGCTGACCAGCCACTTTGTGTACCAATGTAATCTGTGAGAAGGTCCCTCAAGGTTTTCTTTTCTTCCTGGACACAACTGGAATAGCAAACTCTCCTCCACTTGGACAGAGAGGAGGAGGTCCCAGCTGGCTGTCCCCAAAGGAGCTGGGCCAGCAGTTGTTAGCCTAGCTGGCCCCGTGGGAAATGCCTCTGTCTCTTTTCCTGCCTTGCC